GAGGCATCCTTACGGGCCGAATTATATATAGATATATGAACACGGCTACAATGAGGTAGGCTGCCGACATTCGGGTGGGTGGACATGCCCTACTGATATGCCGAAGCTGTACCCATATATCGGGCCAAGTTTGGCATCCTGCAAGCCTCTTTCGGTACAGTTATGGTGCCGATTAACTGTGTTTATTGGGTTGTTTATTTCTAAATTAGAAATTTCTTTTTCTACAAATGTTTCTACTAAAATAGGTTTTGATAAATCAAATTTTTTTGTACTGATATCACTGTTTATAATTGTGGTTAATGCGTAACCATCTTTTGCTGTAGTATCTCACAATTATTAACTTTTTGATAAAGAATAATTATATCACCGTTTTGTATAGAGGCCTTTATATTAATTATTTGCTGAGTTCTAGGTTCCACTGAAACTGTGTTGTTATAGTATTTAGAAGCTCCTATCTTATGATAATGAAGTGGAATATTTCCAAATGGTGTAACAATACATCCTTATTGAAAAATTATATTTGCTTGCAATAACTTAATATTATCTATGCCTATTAAGCCATCAAATACATTGTGGAACTTAAATAAAAAGAATTTTAATTTTCCTTTATTGTTAAGAATAAAAATTTTAGAAGCATTAATTTACACTGTTTATGTGCTGATTTTTGGAAAACTGTAGTCACTACAAATGGTTCATCTATTATATCATTTGAGTAAAATTCTTTTGCTACTTCAGGATTAATGAATGATATCGAGGATGTTTTATTTTTAAAGGTCCCCAATTGCAAAAAGGTTACAATTTTAGGTTAATTCAATAAATGTCTTCCCCTTTTAAATCATTTATATTGACTGTTGTTTTTATTTTCAGCGAGTTTCCGTAAAAAAATTTAAATCGCCGAGTTAATCAGTAGCACGATATTATTGGTTCGAGTTCATGTTCATTTCACTTCTGACAATAAAGACGTTTTATCTTGGAATGTATATGTCCTTTGATGTTCAATGTAGATCTTTGATTTACATGATAGTGTCTTTGGATGTACCTTCCAGGATCAAATGGATGAGGCTGCAGATATAACTACTGGCCTGCGATATGTCTAACGTATCAAAGGATTGTTATAGAATTGAATATGATACGAAGACCATCAATGTTGTCGGGAATAGAAGATATTTCCGGTACGCGTTTTATTCGGGATAATCTACTGGATATAATGGATAATATGGAGAAGTGATAAGAAATATTGGGATAACAAATGGGACAGAATCAGCGTCTATAAATGGTGAGTAGTTTGATTTAAATTTCTTTTTCAGTAAACCATCGCACTATTTCTTTAAAAGTGACACAAAAATAAAAAACAATTTGATTATTAAACAACCATCAAAACCTCAAAAATGAAACAGGCACCATTTAGATGAGTCACTTTTAAGCTAAGTCGAAATAATTTTGATGTTTAGTGTAGGGTTGTTTGCCAGATTCATAATATTCATTCAAAAAATGTTAATTTTGCGTTGCGTCACTTTTTAAGTAAGCGACCTATCCTGATATTTTATAATTCATTTTTGTTCCTTTTGACATTTCTTGTTCGTTGTTTTAGGAGGAATGTGCAGCTCCAATAGGTGAGTCTTTTAATGTAAAATTAGCTAAAGATAATTATAATTAATCGATAGGTATATTGCTGACTGGGCGGTTGCATTTGATCATTTTTTTGCATAGCTGCATTGTACAGGTCAATATTACTGATATTCTATACATATTTTTTATCCGTGCTATTTAGAAAATCTGTGCTACTTGCAGAAAGGTTCGCTATATATATTTATTACAGATAGTTTTTTATTTATTTTTAATTCTGTGTAAACATGAGGTTTAAAAAAATAATATATGTCGTAAAAAAGAGGAAATTTGCCGTCAAAAGGACATTTTAAGTTTTGAAAAGTCACAAGGACATTTTGCTTCAAAAAAGAACTGCCCTGTTCAAAAAAAAGACAGGTGGCAACTCTAGTAGACACTGTTTTAAAGTTTTAAATTTGCAATAAATCAAAAACGTACTTTTTTATCTCAAATTTGGTGACAAAAGTGCTCTTTAAGAAAGCATTATTTTGACATCAACTAACTTTTGAAAAATAAAATTTTACCAGTAGTTGTTAATGGTAGTTTTTTTAAATTCTCTGTTCATTCTTTGTTAAAAAAAGTAAATATCTCTGTCTAAAACCAATAACTTGTAGCGACTCAATAATTCTAAATTCTAATTTAGTAAGCTAGTGACAAATTTTGAATAGTTCGTGTATTTGACAAGATCTTTGGTAAATCAAATTTGAAAAAATATTTAGACATTTTTAATTTATGCCAAATTTTAAATTTTGATTTAAAACTTTTGACATCCTGTATCTTAGTAACTAAGCTATTTAAGGATTCATGTAAGAGTTATATGAACTTACTATGATCAGTTTTTGAGACATGAGTTATAAAATCAGGTAATGAAAGATATGAACAGTTATTTATCTGAATTTTACTTAACAAAATGCTATTGAAAAATCATGGTATCCAACTCTACTTTTTTTTTGAATTAACGTTGACATGTTTCTTAGTAAATGTTAAAATTGTTTTGGCTATGAAGTAAATTATCAACTACATTGCAAAATCACACTTTCAAAGTATTTTTTCTTCGTTAACAGCACAGAATATAAAAAATGCAAAGCAGCCACACAATTACTGTTTTCCTTTTGATAATGCAAAGCTTTTCATCAGTGGTTTTCATAAATAAAATTTAATCATGATGTTCTGCGGTTGACGATAGTAAATTAAATGTGTTACGTATTTAAAAGGCATTTTGCTTTGATGAAAAAGGCTTTAATGTGGGTTCAATTTGGGTAATTTTATAATCTGCATCATATAACACAATTAGACCAGTGCTAAATGTGCCTTTTGATTTTATTATGCAGAATTTTTATTGGAAGGAGCCTACAATATTAATCATTCTAACGATATTAGTTTATATGTTTATAATTTGATGATTTAAGTACTTATATGTCTCACATTTATGCAGTTTTAATATTTTGAAAATTATTTATTATATACGATGATTCTATACGATACTGTCAAAATAATACTATAAAGAGATATGAAGAGACTATTAAAATCATATCTAAAGGCGAGTACAGATCTGAGCACGTACGCATATAAGGCAAGCCGATGCCGAACCGAATGCCTCGTGCGACGCATTTTGTATACACGAATGATGGTGCAAGCACGAGGCGCTGTTCGTCATTGAACCAGTAAATTCGCGAGCATGCAACCGTATACCCAGAACAATCGTAAAATTAAAACAAAAATGAAGGATGAGGATGATGTCGCGGAGTTGAGTGCATGTTTTATTATTTTATCCGACACAAAAAAAAAGGAGAGAAAGGAATCGATGGCTGATTTCCTGGTATTGTAATAGAACTGGCATTTTGCTCTTTTAACCCTTTAACGGCGAAATTTGCTTTTTTGAATTTTATGATAAAAAGGTATTATTTAGGCAACTATACGTAGGTATTTAACAGAAATAAAAAATATTATTGAAAAAAGTCGTATATTTTAAGTAAAAATCACTGTTACCGTAACGTAACGCTAGCGTAATGTGACACAAGAAACTTATTTATTGTGAAAAATTTCATTACACTCTATACATAAGCCTACATCACACTTTCGGCATTTAGTTATTATACTGGACGCACAGCCCTCACCGGCGCATCTTCTTCTTTTCCTTCCTTCATTTGGCACAAGCAAGTGGTTGCGGCCATCGTATCTCAAATCATCTGATACTCTGTTCAGACTTACGCTGGATCGTGATACTGCGGGTAAAAAAATCTACAAAACAACAAAACAATGCAAGTTTTCTACAAGATTACTATTCGGTTATGAAGTTGAAACATTTTTTAAGTCTTACTTGCTGCTACTTTGAATTTTATCATATAAATAAATATTTGTCAGTACTTACTCTAGATGAAAGTCCATGCTCTGATCACTTATAATATTTCTTCAAATTCAACAATTTTTACCAGAGATATTAAATTAAAATTCAAAAAACTCTTAAATGCCACCGCTTGTATGACTATTTAAGAACTGATTAACATAACCTATAATCGCATTTCGCTTTGAAGTTGCGACCGAGCCATAAAAATAGAGTTGGACGCGGCCGTTACGTAAACGTAACACCAGCCGTTGATAGGTTAATATATCACGCATTTAAATCCAGGAAAAGCAAAACATTTTCCTGGTTCCACTCCATGCAAAATAAATCCTAAAAACTATAATCTATACGGTGCTATATGGTATAAATTTCTCGTGCAGAATGAGCACGTACTGTGCATTGCCTCCCTTTGATGTACCGCCAACAAACGGCTTGGGGCGAGGCTGTACGGCGCACACAACTAGGCAATTTGCCTCGGAAGCCCGTCCACATCTGCATGCTCATGCGTCCTCGGCTTGCCTCATACGCGTACGTGCTCAGATCTGTACTCGCCTTAATAATATCAATAGGTGGAAGGGTAGACGTGGTAAATCAAATGGGGCTGTTTGTTCTCCCGATATGACCATACGGAATTAGAAATGATACAAAAAAATTTACAACTTCTCTATTGAAAAAATGGTTAACTAAAAATAATGTTAAATAAAATGTATTAATACATATTAAATTTATAAAAAAAACCTATGAATTATTGAATAGTGCATAAAAATGCTTTAAAATGAGATATAGTATACTCACGTTTTTTATTTAAAATTGTGGCTACTTTTCAATAAGATACTATTGAAAAAAATTAATTATTTTTTAAAAAAATTTTTATAGGCTCCATTTTTGGAAATACAAGTATGGCGCAGTCAATATTATTTTTAAACAAATCATTTTTTTATAATTATTCTTTAATTATTATAGTATTATAGATATACAGGAAAATACAAGTTTACCAGAGACGTTTTTTAAAAGAAGAGTACCTGAATAAATTTTTAACGAAAATACTCACTGTTTTGCAATTCATAAAATATCTCCCTCGGGTTTCCTCTGTCACCATCCTCGGCGTGTACAATCATTATCAGAGTGCCTATAGACGCATCTTCGCTAATTTCGGCTGTCAAATTTCCAACAAAATAGGGAGGTTTATCTTGTACGTCACCCACTTTAATCGTTACATTTGTAGCACTTGTTAAATCACCATCCTATAAAGAATAGAATAATAATTTATTAATTAAAATAACAATTTGAAATGGTTGTTACAAAATTTCGTTTTGGTGTAATATTTGATAAATTTTAATCAATACTGCATAAGCATTTTACATATATTCTTCTCTCTACTTACTTAACAGCGTAATTTACAATCAGCCTGAATGTCGTTGCCTGACAATTTCTAGTTTTTATTTTTTATTTATGAAAACAGAATTGCAAATAAATTTCTGTTCCTCTAAAGAACCAATGGGATTTCCTCTAAATACGCGACTTAATTACCGTAGCAGAGTGATATTTAATATTCAAAAACCGACTTACCGAAGCTTCCAGGCCAAAGTAATAGCTTTCTTTTTCATTATAGTCCAATTTTCTACGTAGTGTTATGGCTCCTGAATATGAATTCTGTTCCGAGTTGAGAGTTTCCACTTTAAAGATTTCGCATGCATCGGGATCCGCGGGTAAATTTATACATTCGACCTCGATATTGGATCCTATCGTGTCTTTATCAACAACCATAATTCCCGAAAATACCATTGCCCCTGGTAAGGAGTCCTCGTTAACGGTGATCTCGTACGGCGCCTGGAAAATATATAGGTCAAGCACCTGCTTTCTGCTCCAGATAAATCGAAAAATGAATATACGGGTTTACCGTCTCTCGATATTCCGAACAAATTAAAATTCACATTGATATTAGATACAGAACTGGTGATATAAGTTTGGAGATATTTCGTTCGAAGGGTTTATCTCTACCTCTTGAGATAATACGCGTCATTCTGCGTCAAAAGTAATTGAGCAGCTTCAGATGGAGATAAAAATTCCAGAGCTCACGTTAATTTTAGACTGTCTGCACTAAAAGTACAAAAAATGAGCTATAATCGTTTTTTGTATCAAAGAAAGATTTTTATAATAGCTGAAAAATAGAAAAAAATCTGGGGTGGTTACGGTTTAATAATCAAAATAATATGCCAGTTGTTTTAATCACATCGCCCATCTGAGAATAATGAAACCCTGAACAAAAACAACAAAAATTAGCCGTGGCGAGGCGAGTCCTCAATTGGACTATTTAAGGTGAGAGTTTAATTGCGTTTAATTTTATTTTCTAATAAATTTGAAAACTATACAAATTAAAGAGCTAAGATTTTGTAGATGTTTTTGAAATAAATCAGAGCAGTTGCTGACGCCAATATAAATAATGTAACTTTGATAATAATAAAAATAAAAGTAATGTAATACGATTTTTTCAAGGGGTCAAGCAAATACTCTATTAATAATCAAATACAATTACCTTGAAACCAATTTTCAAATCAATGTAATGACGAAGAAAATTTTAAATAGTCGAATTGTTCCCAACCATTTTCCGACATTAAACACATGCACTGTATTCGGAGTAAAGTTTTGATATGTCTAAAGAGCAAACAGAAGACGAAATAACGTGGGTTTCAAATACACAGGGAATTTAATAGCGGCAACATTGGCAATTCGTTATTCGGATGACCTTTGCACGCTGTATTTGTAAATTCACGTCCACATAATTATCTTTTATACGAAATCGTTAGAAAATGATTTGTGTGATGGATGGGCGATTAATTTGTCGGGCAGTTGGTTGAGTTTCAGAATAAGAAGGAGGGTTATTCTCGAAATATATATTTATTTTGTTCATTATTATATATAATATAGATAATTAAAATGGCTTGTTTCACAAAAAATGTTTAATAATTAAAAAATATTAAATCAATTTGAAATATAATACAATACACAAGGTTACAGCTTCAGAAGAATAGAGGAAAATAAGCTTTAGTACTTTTTGGCTTGTATAAATACCAAATGATAATCCTTTACGGCATACCGACAAAGGGCGGTATACCTACTTTGATATTAGAGAAATAAAAAACTTTCTTTCGACACGTGCCATTGTAGGATATATACCTGGCGACCTATAGGATTCTGACCACCTATTGTCTAAATGTCTTAATAGCATCAAATCAACTTTCGAATGCCCGCATCTACGAGTTAGTAGCAGAAGCTTCCGTCCAAATTAGGGAAAATCGTTTTGAGAACATTTTTTAGTTTATCGCTGTTATAACGGGTTCGAATATAAGATATGTAACGGCTCCCGACCGCCGAGAAGATTGTATAAAACTGCCGCCTTAAAGGGAAGAAATAGAAATATAAAAAAGCATCACATACTAAATGCAATACGGTGGTAACAATATTAGTTAACAATATATCATACATGATTCGAACTTAGTATTGCCGGAATACAGCAATACCTAACCTACTTTAACAAAGAATATTACGTGAAGCTACCCTATACACATGTAGACTAGGAAATGTAATCAAACTGAGCAATAAATGTTAATGAAACGCGGGTAACATGTAAATATCTAAAATGAAGTGACATACGGTCATTCTAGGAAAACAATGCTGTCCAATTTAATCCAAAAGAAATTTATAAAGAAAAACAAGATAAATTACCATGATTGGTATAACACATGGTAAATAATCCTGCATATTGTGTAAATCTAGTAACTGATTCGTTATATTTGATTACTTTCAAATATAAAACAACTATAATTTGGATTGGGTGATTCATTAAAGTGCCAAACAACCGTCTTTACATGTATTTTAATAATACCCTGTATAGTTCATAAACAATTAAATTACCATTAAATATTTAATTACAAAACGAAAATAGGTAAACCGCTAAAGTTCAGGATAAACGTGCCTACACCTAAAATATAACCGCACTAATTAAATCTCAACTCGGGAGTAGGTTTTATAGAAAATAGATGAGCTTCGAGAGGTATTATACTCTGAGTGGATTTTATTAAAACTGTGTTCAAGAACTTGTTGAAGGCGATTCATTATTAGCAATTAATAAAAATTGCAAATTTGCAATGTGGCTTTAGTACAACATAGATTAAACGTTTTTTACAATGTATAGAACACGTCGGGTGAATAAATAATTTAGATACAGAAGAAAATAAAATATACAGATTTAACTTTGTTTCAACAATAATAAATAGATCATACATAATGTAACACAGAAGAGAGAAAAAACGACATAATAATTAAAATTTCCTTTAAAAATTATTTTGCTAAAAATTCGTCTACAAAGTAAAAACACTGGACGATCAAATATTCTTTTATTTTATTTTACTAAATAGATAGTAAATTTCGAATTATACGGATATTGATCCATGTTATTAACATATAATATAAACAGAACTGGTCCAAGGACTGAGCGCTGGGGCATACCTATATTAATGTTTAAAAAATCAGAGTATAATACACTGCCTCTTGTTTTAATCGTTATATCTGGCATATTCACAAAATAGCTAATCTATGTTAAGGATTTGCCCGTTAACCCTAACGAAGGCGTTGCTCAAATAATCTATCATGATTGACACAGTCAAATGTCCGGCTGAGTTTACTGAAGATACCAGCTGGACTCTCCCCTCTGTCAATCAATCTTACCAGATTAGAATTGCATGAATACAAAGCTGTAGACGAAGAGCGTGTTTTCGAAAACCATGGTAGTTATTTAAAATATTAAAAATTTTAGAAAGAGCCGACGATAATGTAATTGGTCTTATAATTGTCCTTTTTGGTTATTGGTTTAAAAAATTGAAAAGTTCATCTAAAATAAAATTATATAAGAAAAGTGTATCGTGATTGATGTTGAGAATATTTATTAATTTTTCCTGATATATTTTTCAAAATAAAAAAAATAATAAATAAATCTACTATCTTGAATCATTCTGAAATAAATTCAATTACACATGATTGATTGATCCTGCAATTTTCATTCTTTCGGCTTATTTATTATAAAATATTTCTCATTGTTTGCTTTTGTTAAAAAACTGATGCTCTTACAATTTAATATGTCAGAAAATATAGTGAAAAGTTTGACTTGGTTTCTTTACATTTATTCATCGAATGAAAACGGATATTAAAAGCCTTCATGAAATTAAATATCTCAAAACAGTACATCGAACATCTTATTATTTCTATCCTCCATCATATCCTGTTACATTGAATATTTGCTTTCAAATAACTTTTACAAAATCAATTGTTTGTTTAGCTCTATTTTAAATGTGTAATTTAAGAAGATTCTTGCATAAGTATTATGATAATGATGTAATTACTGTTATTATATTCCAACTTAATTGGAAAAGTTAAAAGAGAAAAGGCAAACATGGAAGGTTCACAATTTAATTAGATTATCAGTATCACACTAAAACTTTGTTTTCCTACGACCACATATGAAAATGATAGTTTGCACACTTATTTGTTCTTAAGAAAGTAGCTTATATCACACGCGTACAGTTCATCAAATTTCTAGAGGCTTTCGACGGCTAGACAGAGAAAGCACTACTGACAGGCATCCCGACGGATTTACGCAATGAAAGTACACTCTGCGCATCAAGTATTTCACTATTTCATTCAGACTTAAATGTCAGATGTAAATTTCGCTAAAACATTTCTTTTATTTTCGTTTGTGTTTTTTGCTCATTACAGTTTAATAGAACCTAAGTATGGAGTTTAGTAGCAAATTAAGAGGCCGCGTGATTAACAGTCAATCTCGCGAAATAATAGCCAATGTTATAGAGTTTATGAGAAGAGAAGGAAACTTTAATTCACCTTCAATACCATTTAAAAATGTAAATGATCGTGTTGCTGCAGCCACAGGAGTATCTAAAAACACTGTCGTCCGCATTTCTGGAGAGAAAAAAAGAATCGATAACCGTGAGATATCGGAATTTTCATCACCAAGAAAAACCATTAAAAAACCAAAAACAGTTAATGATATAGATGAAGCTGCACAAGAATCAAATTTTATTTTTTTATTATTAGATACCTATTTTTGTTTCTGAGTTGTGTTCATTTACAGGCTCAATTTTTTTCCGTTTCTCCTTTTTGATTTTATATGGGGTTTCAAGTTGTTTTTGACTTATTTCGACGTAAATCACAACAACACATTTTTTTAATAAAGTGTTAAGAGGTATATGTACGTGTAAACTACAATTACAAAAAATTGATATGAAACCCATGAAACCACCAACAAAAATGTAAAGCTAGCTTCCGTACTAGAACATGGTGTCATTCGTCGAGATAATTTATCGTTTTGTTTAATAGATCAAGAAATGTAAATATTCCCCTGTTATTTTTTATAAAATTATAAGAGAAATAATTTTTTTTCTAAATAGTATAGTTTATTATTTTGTAGAAAAACAAAATTTCGAAAATTTTAGGAATGTTTCAGAAACAACCGTTATTAATAATAGGTACCATTTTCCTTAATAAAGTAAAAATAAAATATAAACTATTTCCACGATTTACAAAGGCCTACAAAAAAATTATAGGTATTTTCCGCTATCCTATAAAATTTATATTTTCTGACTCAATTTCAAAAGGTTGAAGGAATTCCAAAACACCTTTTATGGCATAATAATTATTTTCAATTCTACATACTATCTTTAGCTGCTTTTAAAAACGTTCTAAGAAAGTCCAATCAGACCAATTTAATCCCTAAACTATTCCACACTTTTAAAATTTAATTACCTAAAAATATTAAAAACTATTTAAAATAACTTGTTTAGCAGACTGTACAATAGCTATCTTAGTCACACGTAGCGCGTTCTCTGTCTGGGCATCGAACACCTCTAGAAATTTGATGAACTGTACTGAAATATACATATATAACACACGTATTGAAAAATAGCAAAAGACATATGTATTGAAAAGTAAAAAAATATCGTCCTATGACCTGTGACATGTACGTCAAAGTTATCATTATAATTTTCATTACAAATTTTTATATAATAGAGAGTGAGACTGACCTTAACACATACATGAGATACTTTTCAGTACATGTGTGATATGGTTTAATTGACTTTCTCATTTAAAAAAGACGTTTTTTAAGGATTTTGTGTGTGGTCGTAGGAAAAATAGTGTACTCGTTTAGTTTCCGCAATAAATGTTGCACTTTCCACACTTGTTATGTAATATACTATATCATCATCATATCTACTCATATCTACAGTCTAATGCAATCAGAAATTAAAACATAATATTTTCAAAATTGTTAAATTGATAATGAAAATTTAACTATATTAATATTTTAAATAAACACTAAATCAGCTAAATAAAGAGAACGCTGATAAATAAATTTGCATCGAGCGAAAATATTTTCAATTTACAGCCTAATGAATCCACTCGTTTAATTGAAACATTTTTCAAAAATTACTGGATATATTTTTTATCAACCCAGAGTTTTTAATATACACATGCACGTTTTGTTTGCTAAAAAAAAAACATGAATATTTTCGTTACGATTATATTGCTTTATAAAACATCAAAAAAACATGCACAGGTCAATATCAAGTGAATTTTGTCCAGTAAATGTACTCGTTATAAATGAAAGCATGAGAAAATATTCGTTTATTTGAATAAGCTTTGAATAATTGACTACTATTCGAAAAATTTGAAAATTTACGGGACTATGACTATTATTTTTGTCAGAAAATTGGGAAAATATACAAGACATTACTCAGAGAGCATAACAAAACAATTACCTGAAAAAAGTTAGAGAAAAAGTTAAGAAGAAAAAGGAAATTAAAAAGAAATTAGCAACAAATCAGATCCACCGTTAAACAATGTACTTCGAGACAGTGGACTAACTAATTGTAGAGTATTGAGATGTAACATCGGAACGCACCGAAATATCGGAACTCATTTAACAACTGTCATAATGTCACTCTGACTTGTCATTTTCTCTTCTTGCATGTGCCACGCTCGGGGTAAGAACTATATTGTATTTTTCCAGTTAATAAAGTTAATAATATAGTAATAAAAGTATTATTCGGACACATCACTAATAACAAAAGCACTCTGATATATTCACCGGAATATTCACTCTTCTGACTTGCAGGATACATTTTCATTATTCATTTTAAACTAGAGAAAATTTACTGGCGCCCTATGTATACTAATATCCTGAAAATAAGTGTCATTACCTGAAAGACTTACCTACAATCCTGGATTTGAAAGTCTTATGTCATTACAAATCATCTTTATCTTATAATTAAAATCCAATAAGCCTCGTCCCAATTGCCTGTAAAATAATGGAATCCATCTTAACCAATTATATGTCTGATTTTCTTAAGAGCTATGACGTCTTGCCAAAAGAACAACACGGTTTTATCAAAGGCCGATCATCATAAACAAACTTAATGACCTGTTTAAACAATTGGACTACGTCTGTGGACAATAGAGAGCCTGTCGATGTCGTATATCTTGATTTCGCTAAAGCTTTTGACCGTGTTCCCAAAAAGAGTTTGCTTCATAAGTTACTTTTCTGGATAAGTGATTTTTTGTCAGATCGAATCTTCAAGGTAAAAGTTGGACAGATGTTCTCGTCAGAGTATCCATTTCTAAGTAGTGTCCCTGAATGCTCTATCAAAAGGCCATTACTATTCTTGGTATACGGTATAGCCAAAGACTTAAATTCTAATATTTCGTGTTATGCTGATGACACTAAGCTATACTCTAATCCTGTGACAGGTTTTACCTAGCTACAAACAGACCTTGAAACTATTTCAAACTGGTGTGACCCGGAAAAATGTGTCGTCCTGCATATAGGAAAAAATAACCCGCACGTGAACCATTATCTAAACGCGTTAGCAACTGTTAACTCCTATAACGACCTGAGAATCATTGTAAACTCTTCATTAACGCGGTCAGAGCACATATCAGCGGTATGTAAACGTTCGAACTCAGTGCTCTATCTATTAAAAAAGTTCTTTACGCATGCGAACTTTCAAACATTTTCTAAACTTTATACAACTTACGTTAGACCATTGATGGAATATGTCGTACCTGTGTGGTGTCCTGATCTGATTTCTGATCAAAACAGATTGGAAAATGTTCAACGCTACTCTACTCGAATACCTTTCGGCAGAATCAGACCATCGTATGACATCGCTTAACATGGCAAGTTTGTGTTTATTTGCCAACAGAAGATTAAGAGGTGATTTAATTGTGACAGAATTCTTCATGGTACTTTTTAATCCAACCTCTCTAGTATACTCCCACGGAATACATATAATTGCCTACGTGGACAAGAAGAAGACGAGGAATAAGCAGGAATATATGGTGACGCCGACAGATTGTCGAACCGATAATTTACAGTTTTCTTTGAAATAAATTCTTGCTTCTGTTACTTGCTATGTAAACCGATAGATGGCGATGATCTTGCATGGCAATATCTCTTCCGATGAAAACATCAAGGCGGCAAAATTTGGTAATGATCGATGAAGCAAAAAATATACCTTTCTGGTAATTTTAATAAATGTGTACTTTGATCAAAAAGTCGTTGTTTAGTGCACAATATGTTCCTAACCAATAATTAGACCCTTCTTCATTAAATATGCGCTGGCCAATGCAGTTAATGTTAGTGGAGAACAGTATTGAATACAGTTGGAAGTCTTGGCAAAGCAAAGCAGAATGACATTTGAAAAGTAAAGTTTACATTAATCGCCCACAGACTTTAGAAGACTTATAGGAAAATGTTCGTGAATAAATTGCGCAAATTCCAGCTTAAATATGGCGCAAATTTATCCTACACGTTCAAAGTAGAGTTGGTCATTTATCTAGTTATCTGTTATTTATTCAATGATGTTTTTCATAAATATTATTACATAAAAAAGAATGATAATGGATACGTGTTGAGCAGGTTTTCCTGTTGTGGGAAAGTAATAGTTTACTCCACTTCCGCCTGAATTTGGGATCTACGAACTATTCTCTATTAGTTATCTATCAAGTTGCTTAGACCAAATTCAGTTGTTGACAGCGTTGGAGAACGACGAAATGCTTCCAAAATATATTTTCCAAAAGTGGTATAAAGCAAGTATACCAGACATGGAAGCTTGGACGCGAGCATTTCCTATATAGTTGGTTTTAAAACTCATGAAGGTTTAGGGGTAGGTATATATAGTACCAAGCCAAACCTAAGGATACAGAAATTCAAAGTCAAAGGAAGACATGACCAACAGACTGCCAAAAAATTAATAACCCAGGCACAAGCAGGGGCGAGAACACTAAAGAGGATTCAAAAGAGGAAATCTTAGTGGATGACGATGGGGTGGAGTCTTCCCACAGTCCTCTCAGATAGTCAAAAGAACTGCAGGTCTATTTGCATTAAAATTACACCTAAGACAGCAGGTGAAACAGCAGGCGAAACTACTACATTTATTTGGAGTGAGGGTAGCCATATGTGAGTAGTAGGGATTAAGTGTAAGGGGTTAAAGAAAGGGTCCTTTATTTCTCACAAGTTGACTTGTGAGAAATAAAGGACCCTTTCTTTAACCCCTTACACTTACTACTACATTTATTATATTTTTTTATTTCAAACCAGTTCAGCATCAAGATGTTAACATTGTTAAATAATAATTGATTGTTGAGTGGTTATAAACCTGATGTAAACTGCAAAAACAAATTGTATTACTTTTATATTAGAATAGAATAATTGTTATAAAGTGGATGGATAACAAACGAGGTTGCAAAAGAGTTTTTTATTCATATTAATAGCTAAAAATATCGAGAGACGTCCGGTATCGAAAACAAGAGTAACGAAATCAAAATTGAAATTACCTTAACGAATTCCGGGGCGTTGTCATTTTCATCGGAGATAATCACCGTTATTGGAACTTCTACGATGTTGTTTTTCCCTCCTCCTTCTACTTCGTCTTCTATACTTACAATTATATTAAGTGTGTTGTTTTGCTGGAAGAAAACACTATGAATAAGTAATTATTATTGTCGGTTGAGGGTTACAGTGAAAATTATATCTAATTAACCAAGATAAATAAATAAAATAGGAGAAAGAAAATATAATACTGGTGTACGAAGGTTAGAAAAATGTGGATTCATAATAAGGTTTATATGCATGTGAAATAAATTCAAGTATATCAAATAAAGGAAGCTAGAAAGAAAACATACATAAATGTAGAATGTCTTACAACGGGAGGCATAACAAAGAACAAATAGAAATAGAATAATCTGAAAGATCACCAGATAAAAAGGCAGAACAGTATGAAATGATAAACAAGTTGAATGAAAAAGAGTAAATAACGTGGTGACTACAAAAAACTGACAGCTCAAAAAGCTTACAATATAGGAAAAGAAAACAAAAACGAAGGACAGGAAATGATGGAAACGACGGTATAAAATTGGACAAGAAACAAAGACTCATAAAAGAAGAACTGAAAATAAAGCGGATTATACTAAAAGAAAAATAGAAGAAAAGGCAGAAGTGAATTAAGATTAGGTACCTGGAATATTAGAACAATATTACAACCTGGAAAATGCAAGAAATACGAAAATACTCAAAAGATATGGCGAAGAAACAGTGAAAAAAAAGAGGCTTTAAACTATGTATACTATCTCAAAGATAAGGGATATGCCGGGCACAGGGAAAATACAACACTATAGTAAGAGATCAAATGCAAGAGGCTCTAAATATAGTAACAAAATTGACAGAGGCGGAAGGACTAAACATTAGCCCAAACAAATCTGACATAATTGCATTCACCCGCAAGAGGAAATTGGAGGGACTAAACCTAAGAGGTGTAAGCATCCAGCTTAAGGGGGAGGTAAAATATCTCGGAGTTATGATTGGCTCGAGACTTACCTGGAACCAGCATAAAAAAAAACCACAAGGAGAGCGGAAACCTCGTTAATGATGGCAAGGCGATCCTTTGGAAAAAAATGGGGGCTAAAACCAGACATGGTATATTGGTTTTATAACATGGTGGTGAGACCGATAATAACATACGCAGCTTTGGTGTGGTGGCCAAAGACACAGCAAAGGAAAGCAATAACGAGGCTATGCAAGGTACAAAGACTTGCCTGCCTCGGAATAACGGGGGCAATGGAAACAACCCCCACAGCTGTAATGGTAGCACTAATAGGACTCCCACCTCTTCACTATGTGATACAAGGGGAGGCAAGATTAGGTGCTTTCAGATTAGGGAATACACTGGAAAATCTTGACATTACGTCAGATCACATGAGTATCTCAAGGTTAGTGACAGGAGACGTGCCAGACATGAGATCAGACCACATAACCAAGAGGTACTCTTTTAATGCTCCATTTAAGGTTTTAATACAGGATTGAGCGGAGACCACCATAAGGGAGCCCAATTCCCAACGACAGGAACAAACCTGGTATACAGACGGGTCTAAGACTGCGGAAGGCACTGGGGCGGGAGTATTCTCCAAAAACCCTGATACTAACCATAGCTATGGTATAGGAATACATTCCTCGGTATTTCAGGCCGAGGTATACGCAATTTTGCAATGTGCAAAAACGAACAATGAAAGAGCTGTCGAAAATCAGCATATTCAAATAATGTCAGACAGCCAAGCGGCACTTAAGACCATATCGAGTCAGAAAGTTACGTCGAGGCTGGTATGGGAATGCATCTAAGAACTAAGAACACTGGCAGACCAAAATAGAGTAAAACTATTTTGGGTGCCAGGTCATCAAGGGATCGAAGGCAACGAAAAGGATCACGAACTTGCAAAAATAGGGTCAGAAGAAACACCGGAACTAGACACAAACCCAGGAGTACCATAAAGTACAGTCCGGGGTTTCATAAACGACTGGATTCGGGAACAACATATTAACTATTGGGGAAGCACCCCAAAACAGGCACATGGAAAAGCCTTCATAGGAAGACCATGTCCCAAAAGAACTGGAGAACTACTCTTTATGAATAGGAACCAGTTGAAAGTGATAACAGGGTCCATGACTGGGCACGCCCCAGAAAAGGGACACTTGAACAAAATTGGCATGTACACTGGGGAACTCATGTGCCGACTATGTCACAAGAAACCAGAAACGGCCAAACACATACTGTGCGAATGCGAAGCTCTAGATCGTAAAAGACAGGCTCTTTTTGGACAACCCCAGGTTGATCCAACAACGTATAGAACCCACTCACCCAAGAATTTGTACAAACTTGTACAAGGTACAAAGGTGATAGAGTGGGTGCTGTGAACTAACATGGAGTAAAACACAAGAAGCCAATAGGCTTCAGTGTTATTCGGAGACATAGTCAGACAAGCCCAGGAGAATAAAAATGAATACTATAAAAAGACAGTGATATCATTTCTAGTTATTACGGAATAACTTGAAAAAAACTAAGAGGAAATTGAAATGTACACGGAATGCAAGTTGCGTGGCGATGATTGAGCAATCGTTACTAAAATACTCCTCGCCAGCGAACACGCATTGCAATTTCATCCACTCCATGATGCTAACTGAATCAAGCCATCAATCAGGATATATTTCTGCCTGTTTCTACCTGTATGCTTATTACTACTTTTGTTACTATCCTCTACCTTCTCTGCTTTCAATTTTACTTTTTTCTGCTTTCTGATTATGTAAATAAAACTTATTTACCTTCCGTTTTATTTTTTTCTTTTATTTCATATATCTAAAAATCAGTACAATTCAACAACTATCAATACTCCTTTCTCTATAACTAATCATTAATATTCAATATTCCTAAAATTCCTATCCCTCTCTGACAGTTTTTATTTCCCACTGACAAACTAATTCATAATCATAATCCTCTCAAAAAACAAAACACCCCTTCCAACTACTTATTATATTATAACATTTCTTTACCCCACGCCGATAATGCTATTTCCAATTTTATGACGTCATCCAGAAATTTCCATATCATTACATTCGTTTACTCTAAACTATACGGTTCTTAAAACAAAACAAACTTTATAAACCCTGGAAAACATTTCGTATGCTTGTCCCGTTATTGTACTTATCCTTATGTTCCTACCTCGTAATCTAATGGTTTGACAACCGTCACGTCTCCAGTGATTCTATTAACTTTTAATACGTCCGTTCCTTCCAGACCGAAATAGACGGGACTATTTTCTGGGTCAGTTCCTTGTAGCCTGTATATGTTACTCTCCACGGGGATGTTCTCAGGAATGACTAAATTATTCATATCCATTGTAAAAAGCGGCGGCAAGTTCGCCAAACATTCTGCAACAAAGGAGAAACAAATATCAGTAAATATGACAAAAGTTTGTTTGAAATTAAATTAGTAATATCTCTATAGAAAATTGAATTTGTAATAGATGTTTGAAAAAAAAAACAGATAAAAACGTTAAACTATAAGCGTATCAAAGCACCAAATAAAGCAGACGGGTCTAGAGGTAGACGTTATTTGTTATAAATTATTTTTACTGTTCCACAAACTTAAATATTTGGTCATACAGTCAAGATTACCGTGTAATAAATGTTACTGAGATTTTAAACAATATTTATAATATGAGATATAATATATTAAATAAAATAATGCGTGCAATAATAGCATCGATGCTATATCGCTTCTTGTAATGCATGTGTGATCGCCTAGAGTTGTTCACACTGATATAGGTAAAAGTCTATTGCCTAGTCTGTATATAGATTCAGAAATAAAATATCTTCAGTATTACGGATCAAAGTAAGCAGACGAATGATGGCGATGGCTGAGGGTATACGATACGATAATTAAAAGCACATTCCAGCAGGAAGCAGCACTTAACATGGCGTTTTAGCCACTCATTTTAAAAAATCAATAAAAAGTCATCAAAAGCTTATGACTCTTAAAAGCTTAAAATAATACTCAGCTAATATTATGCATATATGGATGGCGGTGTTGCCAGCTCTCGTTTATAACCGTTTATAACAGATGTTACAAAATAGTGTTACTTAGGGATTCTCGGATTTTCATAACGATATTTTGAAATTTAAAGCTCCTTGATTGGTTTTCTCGGAAAATGGAAATAATTAAACTTCAAAAATATGAGCATTACTAGATAATTTATTTTTCCAAAATTAAATTTTTTTAACAAAAACAACTTTTTGAGATATAATTTTTCGAAAATTATAAGAGATGCTGTAATCTGTAATCACCTTAAAAGCACCATAATTTATAGTTAGTTGCCTGAAATTATTATTTTTTGACATAAATAAATGGTTCGGAATCAATTTAAAAGCAAGACAATAAATTTAATAACTCGTTAATTCTGTAATCATGATAGATACTTCATTTTGTCAAATATATCTAACGACTGAATTTTTTCTTCGGTATTATAAAGATTTTTAATTTTTTCAACAGATAATGAAACGACATTTTAAAAATTATGAGATTTTTTTTATAGATTTACTGTAATTTATTTATTTATTTATTTATTTATTAATACATCCAACAGGCTTTATCAGCCCAATTACAGGAGTATATATAATATATTTAAAAATATAAAGTTTGAGAATACTTACTTAACTAAATTACACTCTAATTACCTAATTTGGTACCAATCTGTAACATTGCTCTCTAAATTGGTAAAATTTTAGAAAAAATATATCAACAGAATACTGATTGACAATTCTACACATTGTAGTTAAAAGACTGTGAAAGTGATGTTGTGAATTTGGCACTTGAATATGAAATGTTATATTTGACCTTGACGTAATACGTGGGATATGAAAATTAAATTGAGACAGCAGAGAAGATGAATGTATAGAATTATTAATTAATTTATAGATGAATATCAAATCGGCCACTTCTCTTCTTTTTCTCAGACTCACAAAACTGAATTATTCCAACAATAAATTATAGTCATAGTGACGAATAGGATAACGGCCATGTTTTTTAAAGTAAATAAATTTTAAAAATTTTCTTTGGACAGATTCTAATGCACTTATGTACTTTAAATGATTAGTATTCCAAACACAACTGCAATACTCCAGTTTGCTACGAACTAGTAAAAAATAAACAGAGAAGATGGTTTCTAAAGATTTAAACTTTTTACAGTTTCTAATAACAAAACCCAGGATTTTTGTTGCACTTTGTACAGTGTTTTCAATGTGTTCCGAAATAGTTAGTTTGCTGTCAAATAAGATATCTAAATCTCTGTAATTATATATCCGGGGAATAACAAGATTATCTAATTGATAAATAATCATATAAAACAGTGTTTACTTTCCTGGAAAAGGACAGGACTTTGCATTTGTTAGTATTCAAAGATAGTTTATTTATGATACACCAGTTATGTAAGTTGACAAGGTCGTTTTGAAGAGCAATGCAATCTGAGGTATCCTTTATTTCCCTATAAATTTTCACAAAAGTTTCTTAGAGTTGATACAATGACACATGTCATTAATAAAAATAACAAATAATAATGGGCCCAAATTCGAGCTCTGAGGAACCTCTGACGTTGACACGAAATTAAAAGATTTGGCACTCTCGTATTCAACATATAACTGTCGATCAGTAAAAAGACTTTAACAGTGATTGCATACTCTTTGAAACACCAAATTGTCTCAGTTTCAGAAGTAATTGTTTGTGAGATACCTTATCAAACGCTTTACTAAAATCTGTGTATGCGACGTCAACTTGATTTCTACAGTCTAAAGAACTAGATATGTATTGCGTAAATGTACACAGATTTGACGCGGTACTTTTTTGAGCTTCACAAAATCATGTTGGTATTCCATGATTGAATTTTTTACGTGGGAATATAATATATTAGAAAATATAATTTCAAACATTTTGGAAAAAACTGAAATTAATGCGATTGGTCTGTATCAACATCATCAAGTATCTCATAATCAGATCCATCACTAAATACGCTACCAAAGTGCCTGGCAAAAGCATTCACAATAAATTGGGGAGTGGTTAGGGTTTTGTTGCTATATGACATTTTCCCGGGAATCCTAGTATTATTTTGTTTTGATTGAATATATGACCAAAAAGGTCGGGGATTTAGGGGGATGTTATTTTCTGAATTTTGAATGAATCTATTATAACAGCTAGTTATACTCGTATCACGTTTTACAATTAGTCTTAGGTTTTTATAACGTTGTAGATAAAAGAGAAGTTTATGTTTTTTATAAAGTTTTAGAAAGTGTTGTTTTTTTTTTAAGCTAAGTATTAAATCACGAGAATACCAGATTGGAATTTTTCTAGTTTTAGTTGACTTTAGCGGAACATACTGAACAATAAGAGTCTGGATAATTTCATTATATTTATTACCGGCCAAGTTCATATCAGGATGATGATTAAGCTGTTCCCACTATATATTATTTAAGAAGTTAGTAAATTTTTGGTTGTCCATTTTCTTAAAGTTGTAACGTTTCTTATTAGTAATAAATAATTTTTAATTTTCACAATTTATCTCCAAATTCACAATTGTTTACTGATTAAAGTAATATTTCCTAAACATTATAATTTACTTTCTGAAACTAATAGGCATAGTTAGAAAAAGTTTTAAGTAATCCATGACAATTTAAAAAACAAATTATTTTAGAAGTAGTACATATTTTGTTTGTACATCAAAGCACACCAGCGGTTTTTCCCCTAGTAAATAATGTTATGCATAAAATTCCCAATTAATTTTTAAATCAAAGTATGAAACTCGTAGGCGAATGTTAAAAAAGAACTTGTCACATGTTCCTAAACAGAACAGTAGTTTACAGCATCAACTCTTTTTTTCCTTTATCATTTCATAACTCTGAAAATTTTAATACCAACTGAAAACTCGGTTCAAAAACAAATTCATTTGCTAGATCCAACCGGCAGCAAACTAAGGGTTTATGTGGAATTTTCCGGCTAATGAAAAATTGTTTTGCCCAATAATATATCTGAAGTTGGAAGTATAATCCACACGGGCAATTAGATCGGGTGTTTCGTGAGAAGTTGAAGTAATTTTCAGAGGCTGTTCGGGAGAGATTGCTCAGTCGAACCAAATGATTTAGTAATTCTTTACTGCCAGATACCATAATGGCCAAAACAAATTCGTTTCGAATTAGATTATGTGAGAATTTAATTTGGTTTTGTACTTACAACTTGAAATTTAGTTTCTTGGGAATGATTATTCGACGAAACTGGTATTTTAAGTGAATTTGTGTAAAACTTGTTGTTTCACGATAGCCAATTAAGTATAAGGATAAGTAGAAGATGAAATAAAATATACACATAGTGAAAATATTATATGATATATGGGTGTCCGGAAAGTCAACGATAATACTGAAAGGGGTGATGGACCAACTTATAACATATGACCTTAGTAAAAAATTGTTGGTTTTCGAGATATTGCCACTTTATTAAAATTCGTTTAAATCGTCCCCTTGTATCAGATTTTTGAGTGTCACTCCTAAAAAAATGTGTAATTCTTAGATTCTGATTTAGGTTTTGCAACTGTGAATATCCATTCTAAAATCAAATTCACAGTTGAGCTTGAAGTCAATAAATCACTTAATTTCCTAGACCTTTCTATCAGTCGTCGGGATAATAAACTTGAATTTGATATCTACAGGAAACCTACTCAAACTGACCATCTAATTAATTTCCACTCTAATCACTCTTATCAACACAAGTTATCAGCCATATATTGTTATGTTCATCGTCTTCTTAATATACCTTTATCTAATCATAATTTTAATAAAGAAATCAACGTTTTAAAACAATTAGCTTTTAATAATAACTACAATCCTTCCATTATTAACGTGGTTATCAATAAAGTCAAACTCAAGAAAAGGTCCCAACTTGCTTTTAATCCTACTAACGAACCTCCTGCTAATTTTAAATACTTTTCACTACCATATCTCAGTAAAATTTGCAATGATGTTGCTGCAGTTTTTAAAGATTGCAAGAATACTAAAAATTTTTTTAAAAATGTTAATTCGATTAAAAGCCAACAATCACATACTAAGGATGAAATCGAGTTACTACACAAAAGTGGTATCTATAGACTAAGCTGTAACGATTGTAATACGTCTTATATAGGTAAAACTGAGAGGAGACTAAACATATTAGATATCCAAATAAGTCTACTTTTGGACATCATATTAAATTCAACAATCATAATTTCATTCCTTCTGAGAATGTTACTGTTCTTCATAATATTTTTAATTGCAGCTTTAAACTAACGCCCGTATGCACCGTACCCGTTTAATCCAGATCAAGGGTTTAATCGCGTTTAGTACTATTTTTAGCT